GCTCCGGGCCGTGGGGCGCCAGCGGCCGGAGGGTTCCGCGCTTGGACCCCGAGGCGAAGGCTGGCCGGGACGGTCGGAGGGAAACGGGGGTGTATGCGCTGGGCGCGGGGACTTCGGTGAACGCTTTTCATTGCTCCACAAAACGCCAGACGAGGAGCGTTGCACCTTGCTGGGCCACTAAGCACACAGGCAACCCTGCTTTATGTCCCCAAAGGTCGCTCGGGAGCGCACCTGGCACCTGGGCTGCTTCATGGGGGCCGCCCGTTGTGAGCAGACCTCGGGCACCATCTGACTGTCCTGCGGGGAAAGGGCGCGGCCGGCTGCCTGGCTGCACAGGGAAAGGTCAGCCTCACCTGTCCGCGAACCGCCTTCCAGGGAGGAGGTCAGGACCACAGCCTCAGAGCATTGGTGGCCTGGGAAATGACCTCAGACGTCCATGTGTAACCTCCTGATGTCCAGCGAGTGCCAGGGCGCAAGGGGGTGGGGCACGGCCATACTAGTGCCATCCGCATGGCAGTCTTGCAAGCTGAGCCACAGACTCCTGGATGGTCTCCACTGAGGGTCCCGGCTCCCGGCCAAACCCCAGCCAGACCACTGCACCTGCTATTTCTTCAGCTCAGACTTCAGGCTGCCAGTCATGTTGGACTGTTCACACGTGAGGGGCTCCGGCCCAGGGGCCAGTGACATAGCTGTGTCCCGCTTCCTCCAGCAGCAGGCCTTGGGAGGCTTTACAGAAAGCTGTCTGAACCTGGTGCCCAGGGGTGAGGGTATGGCTGAGCCCCTGACAACTCTCCTTGTGCAGGGTAGAGACGATGCCCAAGCTACAGGGCTTCGAGTTCTGGAGCCGCACCCTGCGGGGGGCCCGCCACGTGGTGGCCCCCATGGTGGACCAGAGTGAGCTGGCCTGGAGGCTGCTGAGCCGTCGCCACGGAGCACAGCTCTGCTACACTCCTATGCTGCATGCCCAGGTCTTCGTGCGAGATGCCAACTACCGGGAGGAGAACCTCTACTGCGAGGTGTGCCCCGAGGACAGGCCTCTCATCGTGCAGGTGGGCCCCGTGGCTGCGGTGGGGGAGGGCCTGCACCTGGAGCCTTCGTGTGGGGGAGTGGCTCTGCCCCTGGGCACTCAGGTCGAGTGCTGCTTGCCCATCTTCGCTAGTTCTGTGCCAACGACCCCGAGGTGTTTGTGCGGGCTGCTCTCCTGGCTCAGGACTACTGCGACGCCATCGACCTCAACTTGGGCTGCCCTCAGATGATTGCCAAGAGGGGTGAGCACAGGCCTGGCCGGGAGCGGGGTGCCTCAGCAAGCGGCCTGTCGCCATGGCATAGCTTAGCATCAGGGCAGTCAGAGGTGCCTTTGGGATCGGCACTGGCCCCCAGGGGAGGGGGGACAGGCAGGTGGCTTCCTGCTGTGTCAGGGTCAAGCGAATAGGGTACCCCCACCCAGGGGGTGTCCTGGGGCACACATCGTTCTCAGTGTGATTAGGGCCCTCACCCCACCCTTGTCCCTAGTGCTGCGAATGCCTCTGATCCTTTGACCCAGCGTGCACCTGACCCTCCCAAGGGGACCCAGCTGGGTGGCACAGGAGAAGCAGCCCTCCCCTGCAGCCTGGTGCACCATACCTCCTGTGGGCCCAGAGAGCTCACTCGCCTGACCACCGGGATGGAGCAAGCAGGGGGAGGGGGCTCCAGGAGGGCCACTGGGCTGGTGACCTCTGCCGGCCACCTGGCACCTGGCTAGCATGGCATGTCCTCCACAGGCCACTACGGCGCCTTCTTGCAGGAGGAGTGGGACTTGCTTGAGAGAATGAGTGAGTGACTGAGTGCAGCCTCAGGCCTTGGGCTGCCTGGGTGATGGGGGACAGGGCAGCCTGGGTGGGGGGGTCTTCTGTGGGATACGGTTGCACTGGCCGGGACCCCCTGGCAAGCCTCTCCTCCCAGGGGAGCAGGGCCATGGAAGAGGTCTGAGCCTTGTCAGCTGTCCCCCCGGAACTGGGCAGTGAGTGCCAGCAGACAGTGCCCCCCAGCTCCCCTGGTTCTCTCCCGCCCTGGGACAGAGCCTGAACCCTAGCTGCCCCCAGAGGAGGCTGGCTGCCCCCTGCCGGTCCAGGCCTGGCCAAGCAATAAGAAAGGTTGGCCCTACTAGAAGCCCTGCCCCTGCCCACCGCCTTTCAGAGGTGCCTCTCCCTGCCTGCAGTCCTGCTGGCCCACGAGAAGTTGGCGGTTCCCATTACCTGCAAAATCCGCGTCTTCCCAGACATTGACAAGACCGTGCGCTACGCCCAGATGCTGGAGAAAGCCGGCTGCCAGGTGGGCCTGGGGCTGGCTGCCCGCCTGGGGTCCCTGCCTTGGTGGTGGGGATCCTGCCACCTGGGGAAGGGGCACTGACACAGAGGCACTTACCTGGCCCCACATCCCGTGCCAGCTACTGACAGTGCATGGGCGCACCAAAGAGCAGAAGGGACCCTTGCCGGGTCCTGCCTCCTGGGACCATATCCGGGCGGTGCGGTGAGTCTGGGGACAATGTCCAGAGGGCCTGCCGAGTGGGGAGGGGCCCTGAACCTCCCAGTAGCACATCTGTGTGGTGAGTCTCGCGGGGAGGCGGGTTGGGTGCTGCGGGCAGGCAGGGGCCCTGAGCTGCTGGCCCACAGGAAGGCTGTGAGCATCCCCGTGTTTGCCAACGGGAACATCCAGTGCTTGGGGGACGTGCAGCGCTGCCTGCAGGACACAGGGGCCCAGGGCGTCATGAGCGCAGGTGAGCGAGCCCAGGTGGGGGTGCAGGTGAGGGATGATGGGAGTCATGAGCACAGGTGGGTGGGGGTGACGGAGTCATCTGTGCCTCACCCCCATAGAGGGCAACCTGCACAACCCTGCGCTGTTCGAGGGCCGCAGCCCTGCCGTATGGGAGCTGGCCGAGGAGTACCTGGAGCTGGTGCATCAGCACCCCTGCCCCCTCTCCTACGTCCGCGCCCACCTCTTCAAGCTGTGGCACCACACGTGAGTGCCACCCCACTGAGACCCTGGAAAGAAGGGAGGGCGGACTGTGGATGAGGGACCCGACGTGAGTCTGCCCCAGGCTGCAGGTGCACCAGCAGTTCCGAGAGGAGCTGGCCAAGGCGAAGACCCTGGAGGATGCCGCTGCGGTCAGCCGGGCACTTAGGCTGCGGTGCCAGGCAGGTACTGGGTGGGGTGGGGTGTGGCAGTGCTCCTAAGGCTATGACTGACAGGGGGCCTCTTGGTCCTCACAGGAGGACATGGCCAAGCAGGAGGGGGAGAAGCCCGTGGACGGCCTGCCTCTCTTCCACTGGGTCTGCCAGCCCTACGTCCGGTCAGGGTGAGCCCTCCTCCAGCTGCTAGGACCAGGCCTCTCAGGAGATGTGGCAGGAAGGGTGAAGGGGCTGGGCCCTCTGCTGCCCACCCTGAGTTCTAGGCCCAGGACTCTGGCCCCGGCATCTGGGACCTGCAGAAAGTTGCCGGCCTGACTTCTGGGGACACGGCGTAGGCTCTCCGATGGGGTGGCTTGGTTCTTGGGAGCAGGAGGGTGGCCCCGAGCTTCCTTGGGCCCTTGCTCTCTCGCTGGAGGCCTGGCCTTCAGCTTCTGCGGGGGACCCTCCAGCCCCACCCAAGACCTGACTGGGTCCAAGCGCCTTGCCGGCAGCCCTAGTCCCTCCCTCCAGGCCCAGGGAGGGAAGCAGGGAGCCCAGCGGGGCACGCAGCAAAAGGGCCCTGGAAGAGGAGGAGGAGGCAGGGGGCCGCCCGGAGCTGCTGTCCAAGAAGCAGCAGAAGAAGAAGTTGAGGAACCCTCACAAGACCTTCGACCCCTCCCTCAAGCGTAGGTGTCCAGGGAAGGGGGTGGGCTAGGTCAACCCCGTGGGGCTGCTTGCCCCAGCTTGGTCACGTGGCACCTGGGACCCTGTGGCAGCCCCATGACCTTCCTGGGCCATCGGGGCTGTAAATCGTGATCCCTGTCGGGAGGGTACCCAGAACAGTCGGGGGGAGGTCTGGCTCCACCAAAGCCCTCTTCTTCCCGCAGCCAAGTACGCCACATGTGATCAGTGTGGAAACCCCAAGGTGAGCGGTCCCTGGCCTGATCCATCACCTCGCTCCTGAAGGCAGACGCCCTCTGGGCTGCCCCCGCCCCTCCTGCGCTGGGAATCACGGACTTGAGGTCTCTCTGTGCCCAGGGAAACCGGTGCGTGTTCAGCCTGTGCCGGGGCTGCTGCAAGAAGAGCGCCTTCAAAGCACTGGCGGACTGCCCAGGTGAGGGTGCCCTGCGAGCCGAGCCACCACCCCCTTGGCTGGTGCTAGGCTCCTGGGACAGAGCCAGGCATGCATCCATCTCCCCCCACCCCCAAGGTCATGGGCTGCTGTTCAAGACCAAATTGGAGAAGTCCCTGGCCTGGAAGGGTGACAGGCCCCAGCTGCAGGAGCCGCCCCCGTCCGGGCCTGAGGAACCAGGCAGCTGCCCTGAAGTTGTGGGCAGTGGTGTGGCCTGAGACCGGCTGGTGCCAGGACACAGCCCCAAGCACACGCCTTTACTCAGGGATCTCCTGCTATTGAACGAGACAAGCTGACCGGATGCCCCTTCCAGTGGGGCCTGGGGACATTGGTGGGCAGCCCCGCCTGAGTGTGCTGGACGTGAATAATAAAGACTGCCAGTGCCACACAACTGCAGAAGCGGAGCATGTTCCTGCTGCTGCCCCTCTGAGACCAGCCCCACCCGAGGGCAGCAGTTAGGGGCTGAGTCAGGTCACGTCTCTAGCGGGCTCTTTAATGGGCTGAAATGCAACAATAGAGTCACCCCGCAGCTGCAAGAGAGGTGGGGACCAGCGCAGCACCAGGCGCAGGGTCCAGCGGGCGGCTTCACATATTGGAGGTCATCCGGGACTGGCTGTTGGCTGGTGTCAGCTCCCCCTGGCTCCCTTCGCGTGGCGGTGACTGCGGGCAGGTAGGAGGGGTGCGGGCCGGGCTCAGTGTCTGGCCCCGCCCCTGCACCGGCCCCGCCCTTGCACCGGCCCCGCCCACCTTGACGTGGATCTGGTTGCGCAGCACAGCCGCGCGCAGGATCATGGCCTTGGCGCGGCGCTGGAACTCCTTGCCCATCAGCAGGGACTTCTCGAAGGTGGTGCTGCGCTGGTCCACATCCCGCGCATGCAGGATCTGCAGGAGCACAGGGCTCAGCAGGACGGGGCCCAGGGGGCCCCCCTTCCCCCAGAGCCAGGGCACACCTTGCTATGAGAGTCGATCCTGGCATTGATGAGTCCCTCCAGGATCAGCTGGGTCAGCTCGTCCTCCAGCGCGGCCACTGTGGTGTTGAAGGCAGTGGCCATCTTGCGCATGTCAGCAGACACATAGGGGCTGAAATACTGCGGGGAGGGGGACAAAAAACTGTGGCCCATGTGCACCACGGCCCACCCACCCACACCGGTTGCTGGCCCCGCCCCGCCCCGCCCCCTGCACCTACCTGGATGAGGGCTCGGTTCCGAATCTGAGTGTAGAGGGTCCTGACGTGGGGGGCCAGGTACATGTCCAATAGCAGGTTGTCCTGGGGTGCAAGGCTGGTCAGGGGTGCCTGCTGCCAGTACCCCTGGGGGCAAACCACTCCTCCCCCAGCCGGCCCCTCACCTTCATCTCGTCCAGCATCTTGAGGCACGAGGCGTACTTGGACTCGTAGAACTTGAAGATGATGTCGCGGACCTGGGGCTCCAGCTCCAGGAACAGCTTGAAGGAGCTGCAGGGCCAGAGTCCTCAGTGCAGCCCCCTGCAGTGGCCCCCCACCTGCCCCCTTCCCAGAGCAGACCCCAGAGGCCTCCCTGACCTGCTAGCAATGACGTTGCGCTGCAGCTCCTGGCGGTCAAAGGTGGCCAGGGCACACAGGCCCCCATAGACGGCCACGTTGCTGGGAGACAGCAGCTGAGGGCGAGAAGGTGGGGCCAGCAGGGATGAGGCCCCGGTCCAGCTGGGCTGGGTAGACAGCCAGCTCAGCCTCCAGGGCCCACCCCCAGCTCCTTACCTCAGGGAAGTCGCAGTGGTCGAAGGAGGCCAGCAGGAAGCACTTGGCAGCCTGCTTGTACTTGCGGGCAGCCAGCTCAGCCAGGCCTGGGGGCAGAGGGCAGGCAGAGCCGTAGGGAGGCCACTGAGTCAAAGACACACACACTTACACACCACACACACGCAGCCTTGCCTCAACCTTGGTGACAGGAGTGATCACGAGAAATAGCGCCACCATGTGACCGAGGGATCTGAGGGACGTGTGGGCAGGGTGACCCTGCACCTTGCAAGGACCACCAGCTAGCCCCTTACCTGCAGCACACTTGAGCTTGGTCAGGATGGCCTGGGTCTGGCTGTCCCTCTCCCCCCGCTGCTGCAGAGGAAGGTCACACACGTGAGTGAGGTGTCCTCACTCTGCGTCCCCACCCCCTCCACACACCTGGACGGGTGGGCGGGCGCTCCTTACCTCCGCAATCTCGGGGGTGGACTCAGCCTTGCTGACGTAGCTCAGCACGTGAGACCA